AGCAGAGCCGGATTTGCCATGAATTGCAGTTTGCCATGCCCCACAATCGTCACTCACGCAACAGCGAACAGCGATCATTTTCGTCCGCCATCGTTGAGAAGTGGAATCGCCTTCCTCCAGAGCTCATCACAGCACCACTTACTCTACCTCGCCTCCAGCAGTTCAAAGAAGGCGTTCATAAGTATCTGCGATCTGCTGACTGGCATTGGGCATCTACCCACCTGTGATCTTTGTGTGTGTGTGTGTGTGTGTGTGTGTGTGTGTGTGTGTGTGTGTGTGTGTGTGTGTGTGTGTGTGTGTGTGTGTGTGTGTGTGTGTGTGTGTGTGTGTGTGTGTGTGTGTGTGTGTGTGTGTGTGTGTGTGTGTGTGTGTGTGTGTGTGTGTGTGTGTGTGTGTGTGTGTGTGTGTGTGTGTGTGTGTGTGTGTGTGTGTGTGTGTGTGTGTGTGTGTGTGTGTGTGTGTGTGTGTGTGTGTGTGTGTGTGTGTGTGTGTGTGTGTGTGTGTGTGTGTGTGTGTGTGTGTGTGTGTGTGTGTGTGTGTGTGTGTGTGTGTGTGTGTGTGTGTGTGTGTGTGTGTGTGTGTGTGTGTGTGTGTGTGTGTGTGTGTGTGTGTGTGTGTGTGTGTGTGTGTGTGTGTGTGTGTGTGTGTGTGTGTGTGTGTGTGTGTGTGTGTGTGTGTGTGTGTGTGTGTGTGTGTGTGTGTGTGTGTGTGTGTGTGTGTGTGTGTGTGTGTGTGTGTGTGTGTGTGTGTGTGTGTGTGTGTGTGTGTGTGTGTGTGTGTGTGTGTGTGTGTGTGTGTGTGTGTGTGTGTGTGTGTGTGTGTGTGTGTGTGTGTGTGTGTGTGTGTGTGTGTGTGTGTGTGTGTGTGTGTGTGTGTGTGTGTGTGTGTGTGTGTGTGTGTGTGTGTGTGTGTGTGTGTGTGTGTGTGTGTGTGTGTGTGTGTGTGTGTGTGTGTGTGTGTGTGTGTGTGTGTGTGTGTGTGTGTGTGTGTGTGTGTGTGTGTGTGTGTGTGTGTGTGTGTGTGTGTGTGTGTGTGTGTGTGTGTGTGTGTGTGTGTGTGTGTGTGTGTGTGTGTGTGTGTGTGTGTGTGTGTGTGTGTGTGTGTGTGTGTGTGTGTGTGTGTGTGTGTGTGTGTGTGTGTGTGTGTGTGTGTGTGTGTGTGTGTGTGTGAGTAAGCCCTTAGTACAATGGCCAGAAAGGAGACGAGGAGAAAGAGGAGATGGAGGTCGTGGATAAAATTTGGCTCGTGGAATGTCCGCAGTCTGGTGAATTGTGATGGCCCAGTTGAGAGAAGACGTGTACGGGTATGAGTGAGGAGGAGCGGGAAGTTGTTGAGTGCAACAATGCAGTGTACCGAAGTGCTCTTGGTGATCGGCTGAAATCGTGTCACGTCACCCATGAAGACACCTGGCAGCCTATCAAGTCGGCGATTGTTGATGCTGCCGAAGCTTCCATCCCTGCACGGAAATCTCGACGTCAGCCTGACTGGTTTGCAGACAGCGCAACAATCCTTGAACCCAAGCTGCAACATCGAAACCGTGCCTATGCCCAGTGGCTTCAGTCTGCTGATCCCGCTGACCTCTCAGCTTTCCGAAAGGCCCGTGGTGCAGCGCGTACTGCAGTTCGAACGACAAAGCGTGTCTTGTTGCAAAGAAAGGCGGATATGGCACAGTCTGGCAAGTTCAGTGGGGAGCGCGTCTGGTCAGCCATCCGGGACATCCAGCGCTGCTACAATGGTATGAAACCTGTGGCCTCTCATTACATTCGCAAATCTGATGGAACCCTGTGTGTGTCAGCGGAGGAAGAGCGTGTTTGCTGGCAGCAACATTTCACCCGTGTTCTCAATGTCATTAGTGTGTTCGATGTCTCTGTCTTCCAGCAGTTGTCCTGCCGGGAAGTTGACGACAGCCTGGCTTGCCCTCCAACAGCTGTGGATATTGAGTGCGCTCTCCATCATCTGGCCAACGGCAAGTCGCCTGGTTTGTCTCTCATCGTTGCTGAGCTGTTGAAGCACGACTGTTCTTCGGCCACACCTGGATGCACTCTTCTCCACATGCTGGTCAGCGTCATCTGTGCCTCAGGAGTGGAAAGATGCTGTGCTCGTCCCTATTCCAAAAAATGGTGACTTGAGCAAGTGTGACAACTGGAGGGGAATAGCCCTATTGGACGTCGTCGGGAAGCTTCTCGCACGTGTTATTCAGGACCGGCTGCAACCTCTTGCTGAGGCACATCTCCCTGAAAGCCAATGTGGTTTTCGGCGCGGGCGATCCGGCACAGATGCCATCTTTTGCGTGCGACAGGTAGTCGAGAAGGCATTCGAGCACCGCTGTAAGGCCTTTCTCGTTTTCATCGATCTCCGCAAGGCGTACGACTCGGTACCACGCGCTGCACTGTTGCTGGCCCTTGAGGTGTATGGTGTGCCTGATTGACGGCTTCCATTCAGGCATGCAGGCTGCTGTTCGGGTTGATGGTGATGTGTCTGGGAACATCTCGGTTGAGAATGGTTTGCGGCAAGGGTGCGTTATGGCCCCACTGTTGTTTAACCTGTACTTTGGTCTTGTGTTGGAAGCATGGCGTTCAGCTATAGCAGCAGCTGGTGTTAACGGTGTGTCCCTGATATCTTCAATCCATGGAAGTGGCAATCTATTTCCCAAGCGAACCCGTCAAAATGGCACGACATCGGTCAACGACCTGGAGTTTGCAGATGATGCAGCACTACTTGCACCATCCCGTGAGTCAGCTCAACTGGCTTTGGAGCTGTTCAGCCACGTTGCTTCTTCCTTCGGCTTGACTCTGAGTACAGCGAAGACCAAATTCATGGCCGTTGGTGCAAATTTATCATGTGCTGATCGCCTGCCGCTCTTTGTTGGTCCGGAGGAGATCGAAAGTGTCAAATCCTTTGTGTATCTTGGCTCTGTGATAACTGCTGACACCCGCTCATCTGCAGATGTGGCCACAAGACTCGGTAAGGCAGCGGCAGCTTTCGACCTTATGCGCCGTGTCTTTCTTGACCGAAACCTTTCCATCGCCACCAAGCGCCATCTTTACGATGTTTGCGTTCTGTCCACATTGCTCTATGCCTGTGAGTGCTGGACTCCGCTGAAGAGAGACATGGTTGCCATCAACAACTTCCACCACCGCTCCCTCAGGTTCATTCTGGGTGTGTCCCGGCTCGATCAACAGCTGCAGCATGTCAACAACCAGGAGCTGCGAAGACGCTGGGGTGATATGGCACTGCCATCTGATATCGTCAGACACCACCGTCTGCAGTGGCTTCGGCATGTCGCCAGAATGCCAGATAACCGGCTTCCGAAGCTGATACTGTACAGCTTCTTCTCAGATCCACGCCCAGCCTGTGGGCCACGACTGCGATGGAAAGACCTTGTCGCACGTGATCTTCGTTTCGAGGCAATTGCAAAGACTCCGGATGATCTCGTGGAGTGCAACAACAACAGAGTCACCTGCAAGGTTTGCAGCCGATCATTCACTGCTCGTGGGATTCACCGTCACAAGTGCTCAGCTGTACGGTCCTTATCTGTTGCCCAGCAGCCTGGGGCCCGTCACTGTGGAGTTTGTGACCGCTGGTTTCAAAGCGCTGGCGGTTTTGCAGTTCATCGTTGTGTGGAGCGTCAGACATCGGACGAAATACCAGCTGTTTCAACGAGATGCAGCCTGAATTTGGACTGCTGCCAGCACCATTGCTCGACCTGTGATCGCTGCATGAAGAGTCAGGCTGGTTTTAACCGCCATAATTGTACTCGAGGCAAACGACTGCGAAAGGACCAGAGAACTAATCTGCTCATTCAATGCAGCCTATGTAGCGAACGATTCTCCCGCCCGCAGGACCTCACCCGCCACCGAAGACAGAAACACTAGCTGTGTGTAGAACGGTCCCCTTTCACCTCAATTACTCTCCTTGTTTCTTTTTCCTTTCTCGCTGTTGTCTCCCGCTTCTGGGAGCGACGTGGCCATTTGTGGCAGTTGTACGCAGTAGTACGTAGCAGTAGTGTGTGTGTGTGTGTGTGTGTGTGTGTGTGCGTGCGTGTGTGCGTGTGTGTGAGTGTGTGTGTATATAGTACTTGTGTGTGTGTATAGTGTGTGTGTGTGTATATATAGTACTTGTGTGTGTGTGTGTGTGTGTGTGATGTGTGTGTGTGTGTGTGTGTGTGTGTGTGTGTGTGTGTGTGTGTGTGTGTGTGTGTGTGTGTGTGTGTGTGTGATGTGTGTGTGTGTGTATAGTACGTGTGTGTGTGTGTAATACTTCCGTGTGTGTGTGTGTGTGGCTGTTGGCGTGTGCGTGTGTGTGTGCGCGCGCGCGTGCGTGTGAGTGTGTATGATTTCGGATGCCTGCTGCTGGGTGTATGCAGTCAATGTATGGTGTACCTGAACCTCATCTTTTTTCCTCCCATTGAACAACATTCCGTGACCGTGCTGCCACCCTTATTTCACATTTGCTCTGTAGTGCTCCTGCTCATTTTTTCTATTTTTGTATTGTTCTGTTTGGCGCGCATGAGCAGTGCTGAGGCCGAGACCCCTGGTCGGTTTAGCTGCTCTTGCCCCGCCTCCACTGCTTCGGCTGCCATCGCTATGTGTATCTCTGTGCGTTTTTGCCGGCGTTTGCACCATGATGGTTTGTGGTTATCTTGTAAAAAAAGTGTGTGTGTGTGTGTGTGTTTGTGTGTGTGTGTGTTATCCCATCACTAGTTGCTGTGTCTAACGTAGCTGTTCTTTACCATTGCTTCTGCGATGGGCAGGTCTGAGATCTGGGATCTGAGGTGTGTGTGTGTTTTTTTGGATGTGTGTGTGTTTGTGTGTGTGTGTGTGTGTGTGTCTGTGTGTGTGTGCATGCATGCATGTGTGTGTGTGTGTGTGTGTGTGTGTGTGTGTGTGTGTGTGTGTGTGTGTGTGTGTGTGTGTGTGCAAGGGTGCGTGTGCATCAACATGTGTATGAATGTGGGTATGTGTGTACATGTCTTGTCTTTAATTTGCTGCGACTTCCAGTTTGGTAGCACACCATTACATTATGCAGCATATAATGGTCATGTTTCCACAGTGGAATATCTTATCACTTCTGGACATTCGTTGGAACCAAGGAATAATGTAAGTCAGATTATCCCTGATGCATGCTCGTTTTTATGAGCAGAAAGAAGACTTACGCAGTTGAATATTTTTTTGCGAGTATACTTCCGTGTCTTCTCTTCATGTTGTGACGTACCTTCTCCCGTACATTGTCTCCTTCCGCATCAACAAGGAAATATAGCGGCATGAGCAAATGAGAGCAAGAACAATGAATTATGTATAGGCATGATGTATATTGGTCACGTATTAATCATCGTTGTTTTTAGCTATTCTGCTTTGACCTGGTGTTATCACTACATTGCTGTACATAATGTAATATATTGTGAAAAAGGAGAAGGAAAAAAATTTTCCGAGTTATGACTAACTGTCCATCAACGTAACCAGACCTTATACAGTCAATGACCATTTATTTATTTATTTACAATGACACACAGCTCACAGGCAAAGACAAAAAATGGTAAGGCTTTTTGCCCTCAGCCAACCTGAGGTCTCGACGTCATGGGGACATAAAACACACCAAAAAGAAGGAAGAAGAAACAAATGAAAGGAGTGACAGGTACATGATACGAAATGTTAGGAGGAGAGACAGGACATTTCAAGGAGGAACAGATCACACAGCCAGTTTTAGGTGGAGAATGAGAGAAAAGAAGAACAGTTGTTATTGGGAGGAGAATTTGGAGCGGAATTTAAAAGTCATGGGGTGAGGCAGATATGATGCTGATACTCAGAGATGGTCATGTGCCCACGACCAGTGGTTGGTCTTCAAAGAATAGTTGGCTGCAACCTTTAAATGTTGCAAGTTCTTGGTGCAGAATGGACCAGAAAAGACTCCGGGGAGCAGCTGGTTCCAGACGGGGACAACTGTGTCAGGGTAGGCTCTGCACAGGTTGTTTCGGGAACGGACTGGAAGTTCATTTGCCAGTTGGTGTGCATGGGCATAACATCTCTAAATCGTACTACGGGTGAAGTGGACTGTTTGGTGTTGGGGTTGCTGGGATGGCAGCATCCTCTGTAGAAGGGGATGTGCGTCTGGACAATCCATCTTGTCGAGGAGGCAAAGTGCTGCAACCATCCGACGAAGAGCAAGACTCGGTAGCCAAAACATTGGGGAGATGGTTTGGATGGCCCGGGTTTGCACACCGTCGAGTCTTGCAAGATGGGATGGGGCTGCTAACATCCAGACGATGGGGCAGTACTCCATCACTGGGCGCACAAAGGCATTGTAGGCTTGGATGCGACCGGGCACGTCTAAAAGGTTGAAAGCCTAACACCAATCGCCAAGTCGCTGTGTTGCCCGGAGGGCTACGATACGAAGGTGGCGCCGGAAGGTAAGCTGACCATCAAAACTGACGCCTGAGCTCCTCTTGTTCCCTCAGGTTAGATCCGTTGAAATCAATCTGTGGCATGTTCCATTGGGTGCAGTGGAAGCTAACAGTCAGTGCTTGGGATTTGGCTGGTTCAAATTTCTATCTTCCACTCTTGACTTCAGAGGGAGATGTTGTTGACTGCTAGCTGGAGGGCTTGGGTGGTGGAGGTGATGTTGGCATGCAGTGTAGTGTCGTCTGCGAATGAGGCTAAGTCAGCACCGGCTGGTACGTGGTCCTCGCAGTCGTTCAAGTATATGAGGAAGAGAGTCGGACCCAGAATACTGCCCTGGGGGACTCCAGTCTGAATTGGGAGCTTTGATGATGTCTGGCCACAAATGACCACTTGAAGGTAGCGTTCAATGAGGTAGCTGCTGAGCCACTGTTGCAGTTGCCCACGTAGGCCGTATACGTTGTACTTGTGTAGCACACCGGGGTGTGATACGCGATCAAACGCGCCGGCTATGTCAATGGTGAGTATGCGTGCTGCGCCTTTCTCCCCGGCTGTATGCAACCACTGGTTGTGGAGGCTGGAGAGGAGGTCGGCTGCACTATGGCAATGGCGAAATCCAAACTGTCTTGTGGAGAAGACGTTGTTCGACTCGAGGAAATTAGTTATTGTTCTGTTGATGATTGCCTCCATCACTTTGGACAGAATACACAAGAGCGAAACAGGACGGTAATTGGAGGGCAGACGCTTTGATTTCCGTTTGAATATAGGGACTATGTTGGCAATATTCCATGTCTTGGGCATGTTTTCAACACTGGGTAGCAGCTGCTTTGAGGTCATTTTCTGTCTCAGTTTCGCCATGAAAGCACTCTCGCAGTTTTGAGACAGGCAACCGTTGAGAGCCTAGCATCTTGGTAAGCTGACTGTCGATCGTCGTCAGACGGGTAATCTCTCAGGTATTTCCATGCACGTCATTTCCTCACTGTGGCAGCAGTGCACTCAGGGGTCCACCATGGAGGGTCGAATGCACAGGTTTTCAGGGTATTAGAGGGGATGAATCTCTGCATACCCTCCAGGTTCCTCTCTGAGATGCCATTGCATGACAGGTATGGATCAGTCCAAGCAATAGCTGCCCAATTGGTGGTTCTGACGAAGTGACGGCGCCTGGCCCAATCTGCATGCTGATACCTCCATACAGTTCTTGATATAGGAGGCTCGCGTGATGCACGGATCTGGAAGTCGGCAAGTAGACAGGCATGGTCAGATTTGCCAAGAGGTGGCAAAACAGAAACAAATGATTCTACGGGTAGGTCGGACATCATCTGGTCCAGTGTGTTGCAGCCGTGCGGTGGTTGATCGACTAGGCTAGCTGTTCAACACCGTGCATGTAGCACGTGTCCTCTGCATGCTCGACACCTCTAGTTGTTCTGCTACTGTGGAGCCACACTTGGTGATGTACATTGAAGTCCCAGCAACTATCATAGCAGAGTTGCGGCAAATGGTACAAAACTGACAAGGAGTACTGAGACATTCGGCGACCTGACTCCTAGCTCCAACACTCCTCCAAGGCGCACAAACCAACAACCTTCCAACTTGGAAGGCTCAGGTTCGGAAAGGTCCAAGAGGGGAAGGAAAGCGCAACGAAGAAGAGCACGAGCTACGCGCCACGGCAACAAAGAATGCAAAATGTTACTGGATGATGACTAAACTAGTAAGACTAGTACAACTGCAGCCTCAGAACATGCAGCTCTGGCTCGAAACGCCGCACCATCCCATGCCCGACCTGCTCTCGGAAGTTCACACGTCCCCAGTACCTGGCTCAACACAAATGCAAGAAGTAACTCTGCCCTCCTTGCCTCTTTGAGGCACTGGATCACCTTAAGGTGGCAGTTTCAAGGTTCAAGGTGTGTGTGTGTGTGTGTGTGTGTGTGTGTACGGAGCAGAGACGTGGACACCGAAGGCACCGGACCTGCGCTCTCTCAACACCTTTCATCACTAGTGTGGTTGCATCATCGTTGGCGTATCCAGGCGGGACCAGTGGGACAACCGCGTAACCTCCGTTACCATGGCCCGAACCCTCGGCATTTACTGTGACGTCGCGGACATCATCCGGGAATATCGACTGCGTTGGCTTGGCCATGTTGGCCGGATGAACGACGACCGCATGCCGAAGCGAGTTTTGTTTAGGGAGCTCCCTGCAACACGCCCTCGCCATGGTTCACGCAAGCGGTGGTGAGACGTCATCATGGATGATTTCCGCTCCATCATCCCCCCCCCCGTGCCTTCTGACTGCTGGTTTGAGGCTGCCCAGGATCGCTCTGCCTGGAGGCAGATTGCTAATCGTCGTCCTCCCGCCCGTGCTCCTCCTGACCCTGACTCTGGCTTCCGCTGCGCATGTGGAAAGGTCTGCCGTCGTCCCGGGGACCTCAAGCGCCATGCTCCGTACTGCAAAGCTAGCAGATAGTCCCTTCGCTGTCATTGCCATCGGCAATGGGCACGTTCAAGGTTCAAGGTGTTTGTGTGCGTGCGTGCGTGCGGTTGGTTGGTTGGTTGTGTTTATTTGAATTCGCAAACCGAACGGACTGAACATGTCCAATGACAAGGAAGCAAATGAAGTCCAAGTAATCCAGGAATGGGGACACAGATGAAAAGAAAATATGGGAACAGAAGGCTCTCAGCAAAGGAAGAAGAGAAAAGAAGGAAAGAAAAAGAATAAAGAAGAAGTGTGTGTAGCATTATGGTGATAATGCAGATTAATGGATGCACACAGCTTAATCCTACCGCTCAATCTATGCTGCTATGATTGATAGTGCAGTGACTGCGTGCAAATGCTTTGCTGCTGGCTCTGCACATAACAGTGATCATGTTGACCAAAAAAGCATAGTGCATGCACATCTGGTACTCTACGTCGCTTGGTGCTCTACGTGACATTGAACGTGACTCTCTACTTTACATTGAATGTGTCTCTCAACGTGGCATTCGTGCGTGGTGCTCAACTCCAATGTGGGAGGCGTGCGACGTGGCATCACCATGGCAGTTGTATGTGGCGCTCAACCTGGGCGACATTCGACATTCGTACGATGTCGCACTCGAAGTGTCTTGCTAGAGTTTGCCTGACTATATATTTCGATCTGTTCTGTATGTGGATTATTCCTGTTTGCTCGTACTGTTTTACCCTCCCACCTTCCATTTCTCTTTACAAATTTACTTTGATAAAGTGAATAAATCATGGGGTGTTGCCCACGCTCATTTCCAACTACTCTTTTAGAAGCGTGGCTCCGCCAACATTCTACTCTTTCAGTGTCTGCCGGCCGACCCTGAATCCTCTGTTGTACATTCTTGGATCCGCCAGCATTCTGCTTCCGCCGTGTCTACGCATTTCTCTCCGTAGCCTCTCACTCCGATGGCCGGCACTCCCCCGTACCGCAAGTTTCTGCATGTTGTAGTTAATGTGTGTGTGTTTTTTTTTGAAAAGTGAGGCACGCTTTTTTCGGGCTCTCCTTTTATACCCTTTATTGCAGCCCAGCCGGCATCAGGCCGGACTGGAAGTAGACTAGATCAGTGATTAGAAGTAGAGTAGTGTCGGAAACTTGCCATGCCCGCAGCTACCATGAGAACTAACTATCGTGTATCAGCCTTGACTGAATCTGAGACGAAAATGTTGGGCTCCCTGCCTAGTCTCGAGTCGGATGTATCGGCAGTGCTAA